GACCTCGATTCGAGGTCCGATTTCAAAACAAATCATATATTTGTGTTCGTGGTGGGATGATTAATCGGATTTTGGTTTGAACCTCGAGTTTTGACCATGTGGGCCTAGGGGCAATTTTTGACTTTTTGGGTAAAACTTTAGAAAATTTATTTTCATGCATTGGGGTTGATTCATTTAGCATTTATTGACGTAATTAAGTAACTTGTGACTAGATACGAGCAAATTGGTGGTGGAATCAAGGGGGTAAAGCTATAATTGAATCGTGAATTGTGTTCGTGGCATCAAGGTAAGTGTTTGGTCTAACCTTAGCTTGAGGGATTAGGAGTTGTGTCTTATTTGCTACATGTTAATTGTGGAGTACGACGTGTAGGCATGGTGACAAGTATCTATACGTTGGTGTCAAGCATGCTCGTGAGTCTTGTATTATAATTGTTATGACTCCGTTGTAGTTTATTGCACTTCATATATTATTATCACCATTGTTCCCTTGCCGGGATATTTTTTTGATATTAAGATCCCTTGCCGGGATGTTTGTTTTGATAGTATTGTTCCCTTGCCGAGTTGTTTGTTTGATATTATTGTTCCCTTGCCGAGATGTTGTTGAAATATCATTGTTCCCTTGTCGGGAAGTTGTTATATTGCTCTTGTTTCCTTGCCGGGATTCCTTGTGATTATTGTTGGCTTGTAACTGNAACCATGAGATACATGAAATGGGAGCGGGTGGCACGCCTGCCACGAGATACAGGAAATGGGATCGGGTTGCACGCCTGCAACAAGATGTGAAAAGAAAGTGAAATTTGCCTTTGCTTTCCTTATTCTTGTTAGTGGTTGGATTTTGATTCCTTTATAATTCTCTTGATATTCTGTTTTTACCTGTTATTCCCCGAAGCATGTTTCCCCCTCCCATCTTTACTTCTTTATTGCTGCTTTACTTTCCGCTGTATATTATATAACTGCACAGATTTATTTGGTGGTCTAGTCTTAGCCTCGTCACTACTTCGCCGAGGTTAGGCAAGACACTTACCAGCACATGGGGTCGGTTGTGCTGATACTACACTTTGCACTATGTGCAAATCGCGGAGTAGCTCTTGGACTGTAGTTGGAGGCTACCATCAGTCCACGCGGAGATCCAAGGTAGACCCGCAGGCGTCCGTAGGCCCTGGCGTCCCCTCTATCTTTTATTTCCTGTTTCATCTTTTTGCTTTATAAAAAATGTGTCTTTTATTCTCGGACCCTGTATTTAGCATTCTTAGACCGTCTGTGATACTGTGACATCAGGTTTTGGGTGATTAAGGCTTAAGCAGTTGTAATAGATATAGATTCCAGATATTTATTTATTTTCTTCCGCTTAAAATTGAATTTCCCCTCTTATCACGTTATCGCCTTATATTTGTTAAAAATAAGTAATTGGTTAATGAAGTAATTAGATTAAAGATTTAGCTTGCCTAGCTCACATTAGTAGGCGTCATCACGACTCCCGAGGGTGGAAAATCCGGTCGTAACAATTTAATGGCTAGAGAGTTTATTTTATTAAGTTAGTATAAAATACTTATCTCTACTTGGTCCGTTCAATACATACAAAATGTACTAGCACAAGAAGTTGGAATTAAACCATTCTCATAATCAAGATAAATTATCTTTAATCTTGTGCTACAATTATTCCTGATGGTTTGTCCACTTCCATCATTAGATTGTGAACATGATCTTTATACTTATAACAATTAATCTTCTGTGTATAAGCTAAACTCTATGCACTAAATCATCTATTATATAGTGAAGGACACAGACGAATATCTGATCTATTTAAAACTTTATTAAAATTGAATAAGCAATTGTTCCATAATAAATACTATATTCAAACCAAAATTCATGGTTAATAGTACATATTAAAACAATCTCCCACTTAGACTTTTAACCATGATAATTATTGGAATATACTATATCTAAATACATAGTTTATAGTATATACTTTAACAAAAATAAATCCTAAATTTATTTTGGTAAAACTGACGACCAAATGGGCCATTAGTGTTTGTTTTGAGTATGCTACCGAGTTCCTTTGTTTTAAATAGATGTGGTCCTTATCTTATGTATAACTTGGAGAGTGTGAAATACCAAATTTCGTATTACCTTCAGCTTCGTTCCCTTTTTTTTTTTTTTAAATTTCATAAAGTTGCCAATTATTGCTATTCCCACTCATGCATTCTGGTCTAGGTTTAAAGTCACGATGAAATGCTGTTCCTTTTTTGGAGGTGATGCTGTTATTTTACCAATGATATTTTTATCCGTTGTGATACATTTTCTGATTTTCTTATATTAATTATTAAGGGTTTGCATTTGTACTTATAATTATTGTAGTGAAAATAAGATTTTATTAAGGCAATTTGATATTGAAAGTTCAATTTATAAGGAGGAGTAGCAACACAACTTACAGACTCAACCCAAAATCCGAAATAACAAAATTAAATGNTAACTTACAGACTCAACCCAAATTCCGAAATAACAAAATTAAATGACTTTAAACCAAACTTTAGAAATCTGAACCAATTCGAGCTTTTTCCAGTTAGATTTGAATACTAATCTAGCATTTGAACATTAATTTGATTGAAACTTTAAAAAATAAATTTTTGAATATGAGATGAAAAATGATTCTTAAAAATTGAATTTGTTTGGACATACATTTTACTTGATAAGAATTTAAAGTTTTGCGAGGTGAAAACTTCAAAAACTACTATTGGAATTTGAAGACTTTGTTTTCAAAATCCACCAAAAAATGATTAAAATCTATAGACAAACTGATATTTAAAAAAAAAATATATTCCCAATTTTTATGCCAAACAGGAGCTAAATCTAAACTTCAATTATGTTCTCATGTTCAAACACAACAGAATTAAAATACAATTTTCTGCTTTACAATAACAACAACCCGGTATGATTCCACTTAGTGGGGTCTGAGGAGGGTAGTGTGTACGCAGACCTTACCCTTACCCTGGATAGAGAGGTTGTTTCCAAATAAACTTCCGGCATCTTTCCCTCCAAGAACTTCCCACCTTGCTCTTCTACTTTACTTCAAAATATAATTTTTCTTTTCAAATCTCAACCAAAATCATATGTACATGCCTACTGTGGTTACATTAATTACTAGTATTACAACTTCAATATAAAATTAGGGTACATTATTATGAAAAAAAAAATTAAATTAAAACAATACAAAAGAACAAACAAACATGGCTACACAAGGCATTAAAACGTCTGCAAACACTAATCAAATTAACCTAATTAGTGCTATGTGTGTTTAACCAAAAAGTGGAATTTCGGTCAAAGCGATAATTTAGAAGAACTCGGGTTACTGATAATCAAAGAAAGTATAAATGGAAGTAATTTTACTAGCAATGATATAATCAGGAGAAAACAAGTAAGCCAGTATATTCAGATAGTATTTCGTGTGTTTACAATTGATCCGTTCTCTCCCTTTTATAGCTACTTTGGAGATATGCGTTTTTCCTTTGTCATAATAAGGTCATTATGGGCAATTAAAGATATTAAATGCTACGTTACATAATCTTTGTATTTAATACAGATTCTCTAACATTTTTAGTATTTAAGGCTCATTAAATACTGTATCTGTACTCCCATGAACTGTCAGATTCATTCCCCTTGATTTTTGGACTTAAATAGGTACGGACGATGAGTCTTTTGAATAACCGCTCGTGCCTCTTCCTTTACCCCTGTTCGTATCTGTTGCAACTCGTGCCTCTTTGCCAATCATAACTCTTTGACCAGTCTACGTGTCATGACACGTCATCTTTATACCACTTTAATATGTAAACTCAATTTTTTCCAATACAGATAGTCCCCCCACTTGCCATTTATTCATCAATTGAATATTTGCGAAGTGAATTTCATTAAAACGAGAATTTTTGTCACCATTAATGCTATGATAGAATCGACGCTTCAATTGTTACTTCCATTTAATGTTCTTCACACGTGTCACCTTTTCATTGGTTTTGCAGTTTTGCAATACTTTTTAAGGCTTTTTCACGGCTTCACTGTTCACGAAGTATCAGTTATCATTATTATGGTCCTTCCATCATTGCGCTTTTTTCTTTGACGGTTGTTTATCAGTATAAATATAACCTTCTTCTTTGTCTGTATCACATAAAGTTTTCTGAACATCCAATTTCTCAAATCTTTGTTTGCTTCTTCCTCGTATTATCATGTCTTCATCAAACCCTAACCCTAGAAAGGTCCCCATAGTTGACACCTTCCCTAATGCCCCTAGTAGGAGCAGAAGAGGAGGTAGGCTCCGTAGTTTAGGATCTATTCGTGGTTCTTCTATTCCTTCACCTAGTTCTGGCCCTTCTTCTAGAACTAGAGGTTTTCTTTCACAAAGATCTTCTTCTAGAGGTAAAGAATCTTCTGAACCTCTTCGTGAACCTTCAGTAGAGGAGATAGTTCATGCGGAACTGTCTTTTTATCATGACAGAGAGCCTCTTAGAAATCAAGTATCTTCTTTAGATCGTGATTATATCTATCCCACTCAAATTACTGAAGGTTTGATTTCTATAGTTCGTAGAGACTGCCATTGCAGTAATGACTTTCCTATCATTATACCTAATCCAAATCAAAGAATCACATCTTACATAATCAGGTTTTCTTTTGTCTATACATATATTTTTACTTTAGGATTCAAACCTGCTATTGATCCTGTTATTCTTGAGTTCTGTCGTTTCTTTGATGTTTGCTTAGGTCAAATTGGCCCAATTATGGAGGGTTGTCGCCTGTTTGAGGCATTTGACCAACACAACCAGTGTGCCTTTTACTTTCCCGCATCTGATTCACCTTTACTCCCCTAGAATCTTTTGTAATGGTGTTTTTACACTAGTAGCCAGGAGTAAAAGAGTTCTAGTTAGCCCTGAAGATGACAAAGACCGTGGCTGGTATGCCAGGTTTGTTGCTTCCCCCACTGTTGGTTTAGTGGGTGATGAGAACGTTCCCTTCCCTGAGAAGTGGAATTTTGCACGTGAGTCTTCTAACTTTCTTGTATCTTTTTCTTCAATTTTGTTGATTTTTCTAATTTTGCATTTCTTTTTCAGCAACCATAGGAGTTGTGGAAGATGTTCCCAATTTCCGTGATTGGGTAGACAAGCTGTTGAAGATTGCACCAATGGATGGTAGATCTTGGAAGACCCTTTCCCAACGATTTGGTTGGAAAGTAAAAACTCATGGTAAGAGCTTTTATTTTGTTTCATCTTACGTATTCTTTTTTTCTTTACTGAACTGACTTCAATTCTTCTTTCTATCAGGATTTGCTATTCGAGGAGTTATTGCCGAGGTGGTCGCGACTTCTCGTATCTCTTTGGAAAGGGCCCAAAAAATAATCTTGGGTTCTTCATCGAAAAGAAAAGTCGTTGATGAACAAGACTCTGAAGAAGAGGAAGACGGAGGCTCTTTGGTAACAAGGCCACGGGCTCGTAGACGCATCATTTCTGATGATGAAGAAGAAGCATCCCCCCACCGTTCTATTGCTCTTACCGAGTCTGTTGAGGCCTCGGTTGTAATTCCTGATGATGACGTTGCTCCCGCTGCTGCTCATGATTCTGTTGAGCAGTTTTTTATCAGTGAGTTTGGTGGTGAAGACTTAGGCCCAATTCTTGATAAAGCACCACTGGCTTCTTTTTCTACACCCGTGTCTGTGATTCCTTCTTTGCCGATCTCGAGTGTTTTCGTTCCTCCCCAGACTGTCTTTACTACTTCTACCGTTCCTCCTTCGACAATTCCTCCTCCAATCACTCCCCGTGCTGAAGTTGGCTCCACAAGCAAGAGTGGTGCAATGAGGCAAGTGATCATTGAAGTCCCTGCTAAGGGCAATCTTTTAAGGAAATCGGGTCAAGCAGATATATTGCTAAAGCCCTTAATTGGACCAATTGAGAAAGCCAAACTAGAGAGCCATAGCTCCTTGACTTTGATGAATGACATTGTGCACGCTTCTTTAAAGGCATTCCCCTTCTTTTTTTAAAAAAAACTTTCACTTTGTAATTTTTCTATCTTTGGGATTCTCATTTCCCTTCATTTTTCTCTTTTTTAGGCCAATCTTATCGGCACGGAGATGATGAAAAGTGTTGCCCTCTTAGATCAATTAGTGCGTGATTCTCAATTAGAGGCATATAATTGGAAGGAACAGTATGAAAGCGTTCAGATTGATGTGGAATATTTAGAAGAAAGTAAAAGTACCTTGGAGCAGTAGGTACGGTCCTTGACTACGGAGTTGGCAGTTGAAAAGGCTTCCTCAAGTCAAGTAGATAAAGAAAAAGCTTGTCTTGAGACTTCTTTCTTAGAGTAGCTGTCAAAAGCTAGCGAAGAGATTAGAGAGTTAAAAGCTCTCTTGGGTGAGAAAGAAGCTTATGCTGGTGAGCTCGTGCAGAATTTTACTCAAGCACAAGAAGACCTCCGAGCTTCTTCTGATAAGGTTTGTGCCTTAGAAAGTTCCCATACCTTTCTTCAAGCTTCTTACACATCTGCCTTGGCTGAAAATGAAAAGTTAAAGAATGAAATTGCTAGCTGGGAAAGAGATTATGAAATCCTTGAGGATAAGTCTGTCATTGAAGTGAGTTATGCATTTTTGAATTCTCGCCGTGATACCCTATTTGAAGCTAGCCAAGAGAATTTTAACTTGGAATATGAGTTAGCTAAAATCAATGAAACTATTGAGAAGGCTCAGTAAACCCAGGATTTTCCTTCTCCAGTGGTTGAAGCTTCCGCGAATGTTGAAGTTGATACAGGTATCCCAACTACTTCAAGCCAAGTTGAGCCCGCTGCTGTAAGCCACATTGAGCCCGCTGCTGTTGATGCACCTGTTCAGTCTCTACATCTTCTTAGTGATAAGTTTAGGTCATTTGAATTTCTTTGTTTTTTTTATTATTTGGAAAATTATGGTTAAACCCTTGGTTTCATTTGAGGGTTTGTTTTGGAAACTCAAGTCCCCGGACCTTTTAAGGGACAATATATAGAAACAATTTGCAGTTTACGACTAAGTTCATACTTAGTCTAAACTTTTTAATATTAAGAAGTTTCTCGTTGCTATCTTGAATTATTCTTGCCTTTATTTTTAAGGACTTACAGAATAATTTACATTTTTATAATTCAAAAATGCTTCTGTTATCTTCATGAATATTTAATTTAAACATGAAGTTTATAAAAGACGACCCTTTTATATTCGACACTTAATGAAGAAGACGTCTCAACTTCATAATGGTGTTAACATACGATAAAAGAAATAGGAATACACATGTTTCTTTGAAATAACTTTGACATGTTTTTATTTGAATGTTGTCTAGTTTTGAATAAAACTTTACACGTATTTGAATTACATCTATAAATTTCTCGTAACTATTTTTCTTGTAACAGATTAAAAAAACACGAGGTTTTTATTTATAACCCGTTTTAGTACATAGCCTTTACCCTAACTATGGTAAGGTTTTTCTTTGGCCTTAGCTTGTGACTTTGCTCTGCACTTGACCCATTCAATGAGTGAACTTTTCAGGCGTGATCTTTGATTATTTCCCAATATTTTTTGCCTTCTTTATACACATGCCCGTGTATGTTATGTAGTCCCCCAAGTGTTTGAGCATTAAAGTATGGAGCCTCGAGCACTTGATTGTTCCTCTCATTTGGTCCTTTCCCTGAAAAGGAAAAACATACGGGACTCGGAGGTACGATTATAGATGTAGACTGCTTAACCCGTTTGAATTTCTATCAGAATAATTGTAACCCTAGGCCAGGAAGTTTTAGTTTATTCCACGTGCCTTGCAGGTCGTGACTCATCATTTTACTGGTTAGCTTTTTGCCTATCATCTAAAATCGTTAGTAAAATTTTAACAATTTAAAAATTAAATTAAAAAATATGGATACCTGACCATGGGTATTCCTTAGAAATAGTATCTCTCAGATGAACAATATTCCAATGTGAAGGTAGTATGTTGCCATCCATTGTTTCGTACCCATATGCTCCTTTACCTGTAATATCATGAATTCTATAGGGTCCTTCCCATATTGGACTTAATTTCTACGCGTTAGATGCCTTCATAGATTGAAAAACCTTTTTGAGCACGAAGTCCCCAATTTTGAAGAATCTGAGGCGTGCTTTTCGGTTGTAGTATCGTTTTATGACCTAGTTCTGTGCTGCCATTCTTATTAACGTAGCTTCTCTTCTTCCTTCAAGTAAATCAAGATTTACACGCATTTCCTTGTCATTAGATTCTTCTGTCGCCTGTGTAAACCTTGTACTTGGCTTTCCTATCTCAACTGAAATTAAAGCTTCAGCTCCATAAACCAATAAAAATGGTGTTTCTTCTGTACTTATTTTTGCTGTTGTGCGATATGCCCATAAAACTCCAGGTAACACTTCTGGCCAATTACCTTTGGATTCCTCTAAATGCTTCTTTAAATTGTTGATAATGACTTTGTTTGTTGACTCAGCTTGCCCATTATCCACCGGATGATAAGGTGTGGACGTAATCTTTTTAATCTGCCAACTTTGAAAGAATTCTGTGATTTGAGCGCCTATAAACTGAGGGCCATTATCACACATGATTTCCTTTGGTACACCGAATCGGTATATGATATTCCGCCAAATGAAATCTTTAACTTCCTTTTCTCGCACCCGTTTGAATGCTCCTACCTCTACCCATTTAGTAAAATAATCAGTGAGTACGAGCAAAAATTTTACCTGACCTTTTGCTTGTGGTAGTGGACCCACGATATCCATCCCCCACTTCATAAATGACCACGGTGCAATGACCGGATGTAGTAACTCTGCAGGTCTATGCATATTATTACCTTACCTTTGGCATTTATCATATTTAGCCACGAAATTTTCCGCTTCTTCTTCCATTTTAGGCCAGTAATAACCTGCCCTAATTAGGGTTCTTACCAATGACCTTCCACCTGCGTGATTCCATAATGCCCCTCGTGTATTTCTCTCATTATGTATTCTGTCTGAGAAGGCCCGAGGCATCTTGCTAAGGGACCACCGAACATTTTTTGGTAAAGATTTCCTTGCTTTAAGCAATACCGAGCAGCCTTTTTTCAAAGCGCATGAGCTTTTTTCTTATTTTCAAGGATGGTACCATACTGCAAAAAAGCAACAATCTCATTCCTCCAATCCCAAGTTAAGTTATTAAAATTTATCTCATTCTTATCGGGGTTGAGAACTGAATGAAATAAATGAATAACTGAAGCATTTTCATTGCTTGCCACGTCTGCTGCAGATGCAAGATTAGCTAGGGCGTCGGCTTCGACATTTTCATCCCTTAGTATTTGTGTCACTTTCCAGTTTTGAAATTGCTTTATCAAATCCTGTACCTTTTCTAAGTACTGCTGCGTCCTTGCTTCCCTGGCCGTATAAGTCCCCAGCATTTGATTAACTATGAGCTGTGAATCACTTTTGATTATAATCTGATTTATGCCAAGTTCTCGTGCCAGTTCTAAACCTGCAATCACGGCCTCATATTCTGCCTCATTGTTAGTTATAAAATAACATTTAATAGCTTATCGAATGGTCTCACCCGTAGGTGGTACCAAAACAATCCCTAAACCAGCACCCTTTACGTTAGATGAACCATCAGTAAATAAGGTCCAAGTTCCTGGGTTAGCTCCGTTTAACACCTGCAACTCTTTTTCTGTTTCTAATTGCATCCCTTGGCTAAAATCAGCCACGAAATCAGCTAACACTTGAGATTTTATAGCAATTCTAGGTTGGTAGGTGATATCATATTCACTTAATTCTATAGCCCATTTAGCTAACCTACCTGACAACTCATGGTTATGTAATATATTGTGTAATGGGTAAGCAGCTACTACAACAATAGGATGACATTGAAAATAAGACCTTAATTTTCTAGAGGCCATGATTAGTGCAAGTGCAAGTTTTTCTAATTGAGGATACCGCATCTCCGCATCTAATAAAGATTTGCTAACATAATAGATCGGAGATTGTTTACCTTGGTCCTCACATACTAAAACAGCACTTACCGCTACTTCTGAAACAACAAGGTAGATGAGCAGTCTTTTCCCAACCTTTGGTTTTGCGAGCAATGGTGGATTTGATAAGTATGTCTTTAGATTTTTGAGTGCCTGCTAACATTCCCCATTACATTCAAAATGATCTTGATTTTTATGAGCTAAAAAGAATTTAAAGCACTTTTCTGATGATTTAGAAATGAATCTTCCCAAGGCTGCAATTCTTCTTCTCGACTTCTGCACTTCTTTTTTGCTTGAAAGCATATCAGGAATTTCTTCAATGGCCTTAATCTGTGCGGGATTCACTTCAATACCACAGTTAGA